TGTCATTTTTTAAATATTCACTTCATTCAGCCTCAGGGAAAATTTCTAACAACAAAGGATTTGCTGTTTGTTTTATACTTTGTATGTAGTGTAATGAATTTTCAGAATAAGAGGCTTGAGAACCATTTGGTTAAACTTTTTCAGAAGAGTTCAATGTACACAAACTGTTCATTAGCAAGAGCAGAAATATCCCTTGAGGTAAAATTTGGATTTTAGAAATGTGATTTTTATTATATTCGGAGCCAAAGCACAGTAGGAATACATATCAGATTATAACAGAGGGATAAGATTTGAAATTCAATTATGGCAAGTACTGAATTTCAACAGGTCATGGGTACACTCTTCAAGAATATATCAAGTGAATAAAATGATGAGAACTCAGAATCATGTTATTATCAGAATAGGATATCTAAGGGGCTTTTTACTCTAACTGGAAGTTTCTATTGAAGATTAATTATTGTGAATATAAGTAATTCTAGAGATAATGTTTTAAAAAGCATGATAGTAGAGGATAGCCTTTATTTCCCAACCACTTGTGATGTTTATCAAACACTCCTTTGTGTAACAGTGTACTTGGCCCTAATGGGATATGCACAGGAAGTTTCCACAGGAGTCTGTATTTCATAATGGAAAACAAGACAAACACACGTGATTGATGTATAATGACACCTAGACAAATGATATCCACTTCATATACAGAGAGCCCTCCACTGCCCTGAGCTCAGGGAGGGATGCCAAAATTAAAACAACTCTCAAGAAATGCAGAGTATTGCTCAAAAAGAAAACAGAACTATGAGATAGCTATTTTTGTACTAATCAAATAATAATAGATCAGAATCTCAGCATCTCAGAGGTAGAGGAGAAATTAGAAATGATAGACTAACCCTTCAGTAGATGAAGAAATAAGATATGAAAAAAATGGAGAAAACTAGTATTTCATGACTATTGTAAAGCAGATGATGTGCAGTACATTCTCTTACTCATTATCCCACTTGAAGCTCATGACAGCTCTGTGAGGTTCACGTGTTACCCTCCTTTTGCAATGAAGGGACAGAGAAGTAGGGTTGATGGAAGGGTCACATAGCTAAGAAGAGGTGGGATCAGGGAGCACACTCAGGCTCCCATACCCATCCCTGGTTTTCCCCCAAAACACACAGTGTGGGTTAAGGGCCGGGTCATGTGCCCAGTTACAATGTGAACAACATGTATGTTTGAGCCCAGGGAAGATACATCTGAGAAGTCTTTCAAGGAAATTGGAATCTGAATGAAGATGTAAGAAAAATACAAACCATAAAACATATTAAAAATAAAGTTAGTAGCAGATGAGATGGCCTCTAACTTCCATGCTTGTCTGCCTCACCAATGAAAAGGTAAACTCTTCAAGGGCCTTTTGTATATTTTATTCTCCATGCCATTTGCAGTGTCTAAATCACAGTGACACACAAGAGATATGGGTTAGACTAATACATGCAGAGAGACCTGGCTGTGATTGGAATACCCTGATATGGATTAACTGAGGAAGAGAAGAACAGATTTTATTTCAACGAACACCTACGAAATTGAAAATATCAACATTTGACAGATTGATCCAATTAAGGCATCCCTTCTCCTGGTGCCCTCTTGTTCCACATGGTTAGCTAACCTCCAACTTTGGATAGAAGAATGTTCTGTGTTTTACTGGGTCTCCATGAGCAAAAGTTGTGCCATCAGCCCACAGTCTGAAGACGGTTCCTCCCTCCTACATCCTAAGAAACCAGCACGTAGCAGAGGCCAGGGCCTTGACTCCACACCAGAAAAATTCCACTGACCCACTAATTACCAACAAGCCTGTGAGTTGCAAAACTTTGGCAACAATCTTGAGGGACAGAGAGCAGACAGGAAGGTCCCAGTCAGCAGCTTATAATCAATTTTAGTTACAGCAAATGCTGGGTGGAGTCACATTAATAGCTGTGGACAGAAGGTTACTTAAGGAAAAACTTAAAATTCAGAAGATGACCTATTCTGTGCAGAAGCTCTCTGAACAGCAATGCTAAAATGGAGAGCTGCGGGGTCTCCCCTAGAGCTCTCACCCAAGTGAAAGCAAAGGTGTAAAAGCATCCTGTGGATGTCTCCCCACACTGACACAAGGTGGCATTTGGGCTGGAGCCAGACCTCAGAGGGTTCTTTTCCTGAAGCTGCGGAAGGAGTCTTCTTCCAGAGCAGTAAGGGCCTGTGGGAACCTGAGAGTCCATCTTTTTGCTGGCTGGGATTGGCCTCACCTCGAGAAAAGAGATTTTTTTACCACACCAGAGATACGAGTGTAACCGCCTACCTGGACACGTTCCACGGTCTCCTCCAAGCTTTCACCAGCACCACTTCCTCTTTCTTTCCATGCTACACTCAGATTTTTACCCCCTGTCAAAAGCAAAGAACTGTTAAAGCCATACTGAGACCGGGGCAGCAGTGGATGAGTTCACTCCATCATTGCTGGTGCTAACAATCTGACCTCTCCTTTCCAGTTTTGGACATCAAAGCCTCAAGCATTCATCAGAAATGAACAAAAGTAAACTTCAATTAACCAAACATTCCAATTAGTGAAAAATAGCTGCCAGAACCAGGAACCAGGAGACCCATGAATCAGAATCTGGACAGATCACACAGTTCTTTGAACCTCAGTTTACTTATCTGTAAAATGGAAGCAATGCCTCCAAGTGTTGCCCTGATGATTAAATGCCTCTGAGGAGGCATCCCGTCCACCATCTGCTCCCTGCAGGCCTCAAAGTTGTGTGTCAACTCATTGCTTGTCTGACTGCCCCAGAGCTCACCCAAATATTGGTGGGCACCATCCCTCCAAGGCCACACACTGTGAGCAGGAAGGCTAGATGACAACCTTGAGAAGTTAAAGGAGAGAGCTGAAGGCCAGGGGACCCCTCCCACCCACAAACATGGCAGTGGGGAACCAAAGACCAGAACGGTTCCTATGAGGACACTATGAGGACAACTTCTGTCTCTTGTTGCATTGGATCTTTTCATTTTTAGAATTTTTCTGTTAATTTCTGTTAAAAATATTTCTGTTTTTATAAAAAGTCAAATTTCTTGAACCTTAGAGAGCTTTTAAGTTCTCAATTAAAAAGACATTGACTTAAATATCACTTTAAAGAGGGGAAAGGAGAGAAACAGAAAATTTGGAAGCACAAAGAGAAAGGAGGTTCATCAAGTTTACTGATAACATCATGCAGACAAAATGCAAATATATGCAAATGAGAAGGCTAAAGCAGTCCTATAACAAAATGAAATAGAATGACCAGAAATGTAAGGTTTCTTTTTGAAAGCAAAAATGGGAGGGAAAGAGGAAAACAAGAATGGTAGGAAGGGAAGGAAAGAAGAAGCTAGAAAATTATGCAAAAACAGGACACCACTCACCCTGCTCAGTTGAGTATTATGTGCACTGCACAAAAGCCCCAGGGCAGGGGAGCAACCAGGGTCCCAAATTCAGTCCAGCTTTACTTACCAAGCTGTGACCATTGCCTCCATCAGCCCAAAGGGGTGCCTTTTTCCTGACACGCCACCCAGGGAGGGTGACTTCTAATTCATATGCCAGCATCCTGTAAGTTAGCAAGGCCTAGCACAGATATTACTTGAAAATAAATAAACAAAAATAGATGTATCTGCCTTGATTGACAGTAAGCTCTCGGGGTACCAGTATGATGTCACTGAACTAAAGACTAAAATGATCTCAGGTTGTGATTACAGATATTTAAAACCTAGAATGATGGAAGGTGGTCTTCACATTCTCTGTCACTCCTGTATCTATTCATTTCAGAGTGTAATATTTTCAAAGGCACATGCAGCAAAGGGAAAGCATTCCAAAAATGTGAGAAAACACAGCATCTGAGAAAGGACTGAAGCTATGAGGGTTGTGTGGTCTGGACCAGAGACATTGGTGTATGTGTGGAGGTCCAGACCATCACATCTATATTTAAATATCTTCGGGAGGTCTCCTATGTTCTCTGTGGTCTCAAAGGTGATATCCAGGAAGCTTCAGAAGAACAAATCTGGGCTCCATAGAAGGAATTATTTAGCACAAAGACAGAGAAAAGGCTTCCTGCAAGAGGATGAGGTCCCCTAACTGGAGGGAATCTAACCAAACCACTTCAAGTCCCACGATCAAGTCATTCTTTGCTGTGTGTTGTTTTATTTTGTTTTCTTGTTTTGGCCCTTGTTAGCTCCACTGTCAATGCCAACATGCATGCTTGTGTGCACTTTGCCTGCCCAACTGTATTCACTCATCAGCCCAAATGTCTTTTCCTTCATATTGTCTTCATTGTCAGGCAAAGATGGGTGCTCCTCACTCCATGCATCACTATATTTATCATTTTTATACCATCCCATCCATGTGCCCACAACTGCTAATTTTCCTTTTTATAGAACAACTTGTATAGTACAAATATTACTCAATGCAAATGTACTTGCCTTTGAAGCTTCACCTCAACAATTAGATAATATATTCTAATATATATTCTAATACAGTGATTAGTGAGTCCCTCCCTATCTGTTGGAAATAATTAGGAAAGGAGGGAACTGGATGTTGGGAATAGAGACAAAGCAGATGAAACCTGAGGAGGATCAGAGAGCAGAAAGAAAGAAACTCCACCCTCAGAAGTTCTTTGATGACCCTGGGCGCTTGGAGGAAGTGAATAGGCACAAAAAGAGGAGATTTGTGTCTGGTACAGATGGCTAGTGATGAGAGGACTAACCTTTCCTGTATTTCAAACTTTCTAATCACCTTGACTTTCTTTCATAGATGGAAAACAAGAATTCTAAAATATTAATCAAAAGTTATTAAATATTTTAAGGGAGACCAAAGCCAAGAAGACATTGTCTTGACTATCTTAGTCTTACATGAAAAATAAATTATAAACTGAACATTTTCTAAAGAACAGTGAATAAGTGAACACAAATGGAAAAAATTAATAGAATAGTGCAAGTTGTAATTTATTTAAGTTTTGGATTTTGCCTTGTTTCTTTTTTCCTTAAATTAAAAACGTTTGGTCATGTCCTATTTCAAAAATTCAGGAAAAATAGAGAAAAATGATAATTACCGACAGACTCATCTACTGGTTCTAGGAAATGTTAGCCTTAACTGAATCTCTGCTTCAGTTATTTTTCTTTTTTAAGAAATAAGATATTTTAGTGACAATGAAGCACTCCATTTCATCCCTCACCCTCTGTCACCAGAGACAGAGAATAACTCAACCATGTTTCACATTTCACATAGACATAAAATTTTAAGCAATATTTAATAATGTTTGCACGTCTTTAAATGTACAAATGTGACAATTATATTAAAAGATTTCCTAATCCTGCAACAATGGGGCCAGAACACTAATTAGGCAAAAAACGTATTCTTAAAATAATTTGGATAGATAGTTTGTTAATATTTTCTTTCAGATCATTGCATTCATGTCCATAATTGTCAACAGCCTACAATCTTGCTTTGTTTTTCCTTACTTGTTCAGTTTTATTGGCAAGGTTACACATATCAAATGATTTGGGGAGTTTTCCTTGTTCTAGTCTTTGAAAAAAGTGGTGCTTATCTGTTCTTTGAAGATTTTGTAATCTTGGCCATGTCTGGCTTGTTTTCTGGAGAGGGGAGTGCAGCAGAGAAAAACTGTAGATTATTAACTCGATTCCTTTCTTTTGTGTTTACAGGTATATTCAATCTTTCTGTTTCATCAACTTTTATGATTGACATTTTCCTAGGAAATTGTCTAGTCTCTAAGTTATTAAACATATCGCTGGAACATTTCCATAGCATTCTCTGGTAGGTCTTAAATTTCCATCTGTAGTCATGTCCTGTCCGTCTTTCATGCCTTCCCTCATCCTATACTTGGTCATTCTCGCCAGACACTGCTTTACCACTCTTTTCAAGGAACCAGCTTTTAGTTTGGTTGATTTTCTGTATTATTACTTTGTTTTCTAGCTCATTAATTGCCATCTTATCTTTATGATTCCTTCCTCCTGCTCTGTGTTTCATCATTGCTGTTTTTCACTGTGTCTGTTCAGCACTTAGATCATGAGTTTCAGTCCTTCTCATTTTCTAATATATGCAATTGAGATTATATGTATTCATTTCAAGTATCATTTAGGCTGAACTCCACAGGGATATTTTTTCCTGTTTAATTTTATTATTTCAAAATAGGTATTCTTTGTTTTGCTTTTATAGTTTTTAATTTTTATTAGGGAGTATTTTAAAGATACAAAAGCACACATTACTTCATATTGAATCATTCTGGAATGTTCCTAGTTCAATATGAAATGACCTTTCTAATATATACTGTTTGGGTAATAATGTTCCCTGGTTATTTTTATAAGAGAAATCCATGTGCATGTCTTATTTCTTCCACTTGAAGATAAAAACTATACCGTAAATAACTTTGCATCATGCATAGTAGGTGCTCAATAAAATCTGGCTGAAGGAATATTTACTAATTCCATGTGACCACATTAAAGATAGTACATTTTGCCAACAATGAACCTTAGCTTCATAGTTAAAAATCATCTGAAAAATACAATTAGCATTTCTATCTCAACAGTTCCTGTACTTGAACTTCCACAAAAGTTCAGGGCAGTTGAACAAACACCACTTCGGGAACTATAAATAAAGCAGCTGAGGTCGGTCCTACTTTTTCCCTTTGCCTGCTCGGTTTCCAACGCGTTGTGTGTGTGTGTGCACCCAGGGAAGGGGCAATTCAAGTCGCATCAGCCGTGCCACTGAGCCGAAGAAAAGCACCACGGAGCCTCCACAGGGAAAATAAGTTGTTGCCACACGAAGGAAAAGATCCAAAGCCTCTAGAATCCACCACCACTGGCTCAACTGCTTCTAAGAATAGCATGAACTGTGGAAAAGAAAAGAAAAAAAACAAAAAACACTGGCACCAGACGCTGATCTTTAATTGTCTCCAGGCTTTAAAATAGAAACAGGCTGAAACGGAAGTGCCCCTGGAAACCCTCTCCAGGCCTCCCTCGGTGCTGATGGGCTGCGGAATGTTGATCGGGCTCCCGGGGTACTGGCTCCAGTGGGCACACGTGCCGACCGTATTTCCAGGCAGGCTGGGCACTCCCACCACCAGGCCCGGCCGGGCAGGTCTCCCAGGGCCCCGGCCTCACCTTTGCCTTCAATTCTCAGAGGTTCTCAGTGGACCTCTGCAAGAGCCGGCCCCTGTGAGGTGAGGGGTTTCCCCTCCCAAGAGTTAAAGTTGTTTGCCAAATGCTTTTCTTTCCATTTCATTTTCAGTCTTAAATTTAGCTTATTGGTTCCCAAATCAGATTTTACAAATAGTTTCCTGTCCTCAAAAAACAACGTTAGCTTTACTACCAGCGAGGCTTCTCAGCCTAAAGGTGTGTGTACCGTTAGATTCCCCCATTCATGGGGTGACTAGCCCTCCACAGGTATATGGGATGAGATACACCACTCTTGGTTGCAGCAGACACACAACTGTGGGGTTTTTTTCTTAAATAATGTAGATCCAATATTAGTCTGAATGCTAGGTTTCTGCCCAGAAACAAATTCTCAAATGTTGGAGACTGCTTCTGAATAAAAGTTTTTAATGCAAAAAGTTCAAAGAATTCAATTCTACTCTCCACTCATTCAAATATCTCAAAAAGATTAATCATTTACTATAAAACAGGTTTCCTCCTTGCAAAATTACTAGTATTTATGAAATCACTCTTAGTTGGAAACATAAAATAAACCAACATTCAAGCTTCTCCCCCCAGAATTCCTAGACAAACACTGTATGTATATTAAAAAAGGTGGTTGGACCCAAACTTGCAGAAACCCAATGCCAATTGCTGATGGGATTATTTCAGATCTACTTCTCCAAAGTGGTTAATTACTTACCTAGGAAGAAGAAATAAAAAGAGAAGAAAATCGAACTGTTTCATGCATATAGTATTTCTGTAATGTCTGGAAGTCAATGGCTGCTTCACAAGGTGGGGGAGGGGAGCGTATACAAGTCATAATTATGGAACATATGTGATGGTCAAGTCCCACATGGCCCTAAACTATGACAGCATGTCCCTTCCAACCCAAACTCTAGTTCTAGAAACACACAGAACCAAAGAAACCTACCACCAAAGGGGGACAGACAGAAATGGGCATAGCCCACCCTGGTGGAGCATTTAAACTGTGGATCTCCCAGAGCCCCTGTCTTTGGTTACAGTCATCAGCCCATGAAGAAATTTATCCTCCTCTTCCCCACCCCAAACACAATTCTCACTATGAGCCTTATCTTCCCAAGCCTGGTTACTAAAGCCAGAGCAGAGATCGACTGTTCTTGACAAGGTCAATGATCAAACATCGCATATACTTGCCACATGCTAGGCTGTTCCTAACTCTGCAATCTTAGAGCATTCATTCGCACATGGGGGATCAATAAATGTTTGTTGAATGGATTGGAATCACTCTTCTGTTTCCTAATATCCAGTGGATCCCTCATAGCAACCACCATCCATCCCTTGGACCTTCTCTTGCCCATGTTTGTCATCAATGCTTCCCTCTCAGGACACTAACTTCACTCACCTTCCAGACCCTGAACTTGCATATGATCTCCAGTCCAACACCTCAGAAAAGCCTCAGCTTTGACTCAACACTCACCTATCAGCTATCTCCACTATCTGACATCTTTTGATCCAGCCACAGCCGTAAATACCCAGCTGTGACCCTTGGAAGATCAAGGAGGCGAAGGATGATGAAGCAGAGGAAGGAACTAACATTTATTTCTCCCTGTGTTACGTGCCTGGCTCTATGCCCAGCCCTCACACATGGTGCCTCTTTTAACTCTGTTTCTAAAGAACACCAGAGAAGAAGATGCTACTCCCACCGCCTGCAACTTGGGGTCAGGAAATAACTCGTACACCAAGATCCCAAGTGTTTTCACAAATGGAAACACTGAATGATTCCTTTAAATTACTGATTTTTTAATTGCCCATCTGAGAATTGATGAATATCCATAATGAAATTTTACTCACAACAAAATGAGAAAAATAAGGACAATGACATATGACTTCCACGGCTGCAATATTCTATTCAAAGGACTATCCTTTGCTGTAGGGCCATAGTGGAACCATAGCTTTTGATGGAGTTAAGCAAAGCCATTCCTTATAATAAAAATTGCATATAGTTAAAAATACCCTTCCAAATCCCTTAAGAAGCTACCCAAGTGAAGTCCAATTTACTATTTCTTAACAAGGCCAGTCACAGTCTATTTTTCCTACAGCATGGAATTTAGATTGCTAGTTCTATGGCTGAGTATGTCTGATGAAACACACGGCTTTCCCTTGAGCACCATGTTGTTCTTAAAAACAAACAAACCTCTTAAAGACTAGAATGGCACTCAGCTGAAGAACATGGGATGCAGGCTTAGGGGACAGAGGGTTCATTGCACACTAAGCCCTCCCGAGAGAGGGGAAGATTCATGCCTTACAGCCCCACCTCTCTCCAGTGTACACACTCTGTGACTGGAGTTCTGGAACGGCAGCCAGACTCTCACACTCCTTAAAAGATTTACCTTTGAATGTATATGATTGAAGTGAAGTCACAAAAGTTAAATGACTGTACGATATTTTGTTCCTCCATATTCTTCCTCCTCCTGTTTGTGGTGAAAAAAAAAATGTCTTCCTTTCAGGAAATGATGGAGAGAACAACTGAAATATTTAGCAAAAAAAAAAAAAAATAGTTGCAAAAATAAAATATTGGCAATCATATCAATTTCCAAACTCTTTTAAATAAACTCATTTATGAAGTTTAGAAATCTGAAATGACTGTCATAAATTTAATATTAGAATAGTAAGCAGGTGCCATATAAAACAAGAAAAAAAACAAAAAAAGTATGAAGGTCAAATGCAGATTCCTAAAGAAACATTCATAGCAGCTTTATTAAGACAAAAAATGGTCAGCACACGAAGGGCCATCAGTAGCAGGATGAATAATCATGATACAGTCATATGGGGACTACTACTAAGAATGAAAAGGCACAAAATATTGCTACACATGGAAGAATCTCAAATGCATTATGTTAAGTGAAAAAATCCAGTAGCAAAGGTTACATATCTATTATTTATCTGACATTTTGGGAGAAGGCTAATCTTGAGGGATGGAGATCACTGTTTTGTTTGCCAGGGATTGGTGGGGAAGGAGCATCTGACTCTAAAGGGAGATTTAGGGGTTGGACCCTGACCATGGTTGTTACAGGAATCTATGTGTGTGTTAAACTCATAGCACTGTATACAGAGAAAAAAATGAATTCAACTGTATGTCAATTTAAAACCATTTACATTGAGTGAAAGAAGTCAGATGCACAAAAGAAAGCATAGCACTCAATTCCTTTTATCTGAAGTCAAAAAACAGACCAAACTAATCTGTATTGAAAGAAATCAAAACAGTAGTTAAGTTGGGGTAGTGATATTAAGTGAAAAATGAGAACTTTCTGGAGTGTCAGTTTCTAAATCTTGATCTGCATGGTGGTCAAAGGGCTGTATGCATGCATATAATGTCATTGAACTTGATACTTCAGATTTGTTCACTTTACAGTATTTAAATTGACCTCAGTAAAGTGTTCTAAAAAATGCTTTCTCCTGATGGTCACATAAATATGAAGAAAATTCTCGAACATTCTTGCTTGTTTTCCCACAACTGTATTTTAATCAATACATTTCACTCCCTGAGTTTCTGAGTTTTAAATTCTCTCCCTGGCAGGAAATTAGCTCCCTAAAGAAGCTTCTTAATTCTGTCAAATGTTAAGTACAGAGGCCAGTTCTCTAAGCATATTACTAAAAACAGCCCCAGAGGCCAGGGAACCTGGGCCTTCACTGCCCTCTTTATGGAGCTTTTGTTCACCTTAGCTGAAATAATAAAACTCAAAATCAGGACATGACTTAGTGGAAGCATTGGTAATCCAATGGGAAAATGTTTCTTGGGTTAGAGGCACAAGAAAAGTGCTGTAATAGTTAAGTTAAAAAAAAATTCAAATCTCCCATGTAAGGTATATGAATTACTTTTTTGTTTCACAAAACAAAAAAATGTTTAACTCTTGATTTAAAAAGAAATTAAAGCAATATGTCATTGTTAGTATTCAAGATCTAGAAAATGATACAATAAAAAGCCTTAGCCATCAAAATAGCTGTTAAACAGACAACTTCCTTTCCCTGTCTCAATTCAGAGCCCTCAAGGGGGAGTTTATTAACTTAAGGGGCTAAGTTCACATTAATTAAGCTTAACTGTCCTTGACCACTTAAAGAGCTAATCTGTAAAAAAATGCAACTGCTTTTGGAATCTAGACAGATGATAGGTAGATAGATAGATGATAGATCTATAGATACATATCTACATGTACATAGATATAATTACCAATTTTTTTCTTTATTTGAGAATTTCCTTGCTTCAACCAGACTGCTTCATGCTTCATGAGCGGGTGAACACCTAATGATAAACATTTCCATTCACATGTACAGTCTTCCTCATGTCGAATAAAATTGAAATAAAACTGTAGCATCAGCCTTGTAACTGTAGACACTCCCATCAAGCAGCGGATATTTTTCACCTGTCTTCTGAAGCTGTGTCTGGAACTCCTGGCCTTAAACTGTTAGTTAAGCTCAAGTTGAGTGTCCATGCCAACAAAGAGGGAGCCAGCCACAAAGAAATGTCAGCTGTTGAGTGCCTGTTTCATGTCTTTGACTCCCATTTTGCTTCATTATTCTTCTTGCAGCCACCACAAGCCCCACACTCTGACCAAATCACTCCGGCAGCCTTCTGCTCAAATAAGTGACTGCTTCTCCCCCTGAGTTTTCTTTAATGGGGTAATTAATAAACAGCAGGGTACTGGGAATGAGCCTGGGAGGGCTGGGCTGGGACAGGGGACACAGGGGACCCCCTTTCTGGGCTGACCTGCAGTGGATTTGCACAGCCTAGAACTCAGGGCTATCCCCCTGGAGCTCCTGAGTAGGTTGGTAAGGAGTCCTGGGTGCAGAGGCAGCCCCAAGCCTGATCCCAAAGGGAAGGCAGTGCAAACAGTTTGAGTCACAGTGGGGACCAGACTGCTTTGTTTAATAACTTCAGACAACTCTGTCTGGATTTAAACTCCCACAGTCCTGTCACACTATCCCAAAGATCCAAAGATAAGTCGCCCAGTGCCTTCACAACACATTTCCTCTTATGCGGGAGACAGGACACTCTCTCCCTCCTGAATTGTAACTTTTAACAAAGCCTCTACATTAATTGATGTCTGACCTCGCAGGTCCTTAAACAGGGAATGAATTTTTTTTTTTTAAGTTAAAAAGGGAGAGGAAAAAGAAAAAAGAGCTCCATATCAGTGTGTGTGACCCGAACAGCAAGTGCACAGTTGGGGGACATCTGGAGTCCCTGGGAGGAGAGCACGGGTGGTGCCCTGGTCACCCCACATGGGACAGAGGCAGAGAGATTCCAAGATCTGACACTCACTCACTTTGCTACCTGTACTAAGTGAATCTGGGTGTGTGCCTAAATGGGAAACGTTGCTCTTTCTTCCATGATCACTGAGTGGGCACAGGTACAGTCCCAGACGCCACAATGACAGTCACAAAGTCCCAGGCATTATATTAGGGTCCAGAATTCATGTCCATTCTGGACCAAGTATTGAAGAAACAAAAGCGCTTTGGTAGCATTTACCTCCATGATCTTATCTTTCTTTTCCCTTGACGTGGCTGGCTGACCCACAGCATCAACACATACTCTCCCCCTTCTTCCTGCTTCAGGGTATGCCAGTGCTTGACAGAGAAAAACAAGGGATTAGACAATATCTATTCATTGTCTCTGCCCACCATGGAGAAGCAGATCAACAGATCCTCCTAAGGTCAGGGATGTGGATACTGAATCTGGAAGCTAATAGGGACACTGCTACAGGGCTTGTCCAATCTCAGCAATAGTCTCTGAGCTTACGTGACAAAGACAGACACATAGGTGCAAATCTGCCAGGGACCAGGCTGGCTCCTTCCTTGCGGCCTGCCCCGCCTGTAAAGACAGGGCTTATGGGAGCCATGTCCCACCTTCTCTTGAACCATAACTTGTCCTCCCTGGGGACAGTTGAGCTGGTCCCTCCCTAACACTCACCAGTCACCTCCCTGGGGGAGCAGTAAAAAGGCCTCTGGGTGAAGAACCTAGAGGAACACACACCACAGTCAAAAATAATCTACCCAGCATGGCCAGGGGTGCATCTGTTCTCAATTACAAATATATCTGGAAGCCAGAGATCTTGATTGCAAACAGATACAATGGTACAAAAAAGAACTTTTAGCACATAAGATCTAGTATATACTAAGGGCTATAAGGTTCTGTTAGAATGAATAAGTGTAAGTATATATATATATATATATATACACACACACACATATACATATATATGTATGTATAAGCACATATATGTGTGTATATATATAAAATATATCATGTTTATAATTATATCTATAATGTATATTATATTATATTATTATATATAATGTATATATACATGTATACTTAGCAGTTCTATACAGCTTATGTTACAATTTATAATTATATATAATATGCATCATAAAAATTATAATTATTATTTATAATTTATATTATATGTGCATATAATTATAATATAATAATATGCATGTATGTTACACTTAACACTTATATATGGTTTATGTATGATTTATATATATTTGTTATTTAGCAGAAGAAAGTCCAGATGTATACATAATATATAATTATATACTATTAAAATATAATTATGTTATATATGTATTATATATAATTATATATTATATATGCATTATATATAACGTATATTTGATATATATGTTATATATTATAGTATATAATTTTATATGTGATATACATAATACAGCAATATAAAATCTATATTAAAATATAATATGTATAGTATATAATATAATGTAATATAATGTATAATACAATGATATATAATATATATTATATGTGTAATATATTGTATGTTATACTATGTATATGTATATACCAGAAAACTATTTTATCTAATAAAAATACATCGTGGATCATGCAAGTAGACTGAAAATATGTAAGAAGTACTCTCATTTTGTCTCAGTTATAACATTTTAGACTTACCTGAAAATGAGACAAAATTCATTAACATTAAACTCTAAATTTTAGGGACTAAGAATAACTCAAAATTTATATTTATCCAGTTTAACCACAAAAATATACAAATCTGCATTACACATTTGTTTCCTTAAAACATCTTCACAATAATCAATATAAAAACGATAGTAAATCAAAACTCCTGTTCACCTGTAGGGAGTAGTATGGCAAAATCTTGGAAGATTTTTTGTAATATCATCCACCAGACTAGAAAAAGCTATAGAATAGCAGTCTGGAAAGACCTTGCAGTATTATTTATTCTTCCTACAGGTTTTCTTTTACATTTTTTCAAATTCTCTCCATACTTGTACGGCTAGACAATCTTCTACTAAATAGTAAATAAGAATTGTTTCATAACGTTTATGAGGTATTCACAACATGAAATAGAGACATTTCTGATCTATTTTTCTTTGTATTGTGGATTTGTTTCCGTGAAACACCAGCTGCTCAGCCATGTTACTGCTCCTCTTCCAACTGCTTGTCCACAGTGAGCCAACATTTAATTTTTAACTAGATGACCATTTATAAGGAAATCTTTGGGGGGCTCTTCTGCTGTTTAGATATGTCAAGTATCTAAGTATCCAGAGCAATGGTTTTCTTCTATACTGGGTAGTAGCAGCAGGTGATGATTAGGGGGCTCTGGGTCCTGGAAGTCATTCCTACTATCTTGGCATCATCAGTTCCGTAGAGCTGGTTTCTTTGGGGTCATTCAACCACAGTGTGTCTCTCCCAGCCCCCAGTGTCCTCAAGTACATGCAGACTTAGACACATTCATCACAGGGAGATTGTTCTTCAGGCCATGTGGTAACTAAAGCTTCATTTGTTAAATGTTAATCCAAGTCTACAGCAAAAGTACTCAATATGGGGTTATTAAATTTTCTTATTAAATATAATCAGGGAGCTTTGTCTGGACATCAGGTTAAAGCCATGACTGGGAAAATTTCTTCTAAAGACAGAAAAGCAGTGTTATGACTAATAATATATCAACATACTCTGTCACTTGAACTTGAGAGTTCTTTAATCTTAATGAAAAGTATCAAGTGTTGAGTGTGCATTTTACAGTTTACACAGAGCCATGAGCCAAGGGAACTGGTCCAGTATTTCAGAAATGCCCTTCACTGCTAAGCAATTGACTGGGTTTGACAAGAGCGTGACAGCCATTTGCCCCATGTCAGGCAAGGCTCTTGTTAGGGTTGCCTCCTTGCCATTTCTGGACCCTTCAGATTATGACATATCACACTCAGGGAGGTTTCAGAATAGATTCACAGATAATCAAGGACCTCACAGATCATCTGTCCAGATGGTTTATTTTTATAAATAAGAACCTTGACACCCATATAAGTGACATGAATTCTTAAAGTTGAGCACAAATCATAAACCAGGTTCCCAGATGTTGTCCTACTGTGGGAAACCAGAGGGCACATGGATACCAAGGACAGAGCTGTGAAGTGGCCTTTGCTCCCCAAACTGGGGCAGTGGTGGCCCCTACACATTCATACATGGAGGCCTTGACTGTGAACACATCAAAGCAGAGACTTGGAAGTCCTGGAGCATTCCTGGAGCTGAGGGTGAGCACACGTGGTGGGTGACATAAAGGCCAACGAGGAAGGAGTCAAACTTTGAACCACCAAGGACAGGAAGCCAAGTGGGCCTCAACCGGCTCTTCAGGAACAAGCTCAGAGATGTCAAGAGAAACCAGAAACCTGGATTACTTAGAGTAAAATCTCCTAATTTATTAATGCAGGCACCCTATTTTTTAATAAGCTGCTGATCAGTTCTAGCTACTGTAATAAAGTACCAAAAACTGGGAGCTTAACCAACAAATTTTTATTTCTCACAGTTATGTAGGCTGGCAAGTTGGAGAGCAAAGTCTTTTGCTGCAACCTTACATGTCAGAAAGAGATGAGAGAGCTCTCTGGAGTCACTTTTATAAAGGCATTAGACCCAGTCATGAGAGCCCCACCCTCATGACCTAACAGCCTCCCTAAGGCCCCACCTCTTAACACCATCCCACTAAGGGCTAGGATTTCAACACACAAGTTTTGGGGAGACACGAACATTCAATCCAGAACTACTCTGCAAGTTGAGACAACCAATGTTAACAAAAAGTCTTATTCACATAGACATTTATTACCAAACAGCATTTAGATTTATTTTTAAAAAATATTTTCAAGGTTTGGATGTAGGGAATTCACAGCTTTCTGAAGAGCAATCTTTCAGGACTTACTGGTATCAGTAAAAATGGTTTCAGCTATGAGTAACAGCAGATTACAGCTAAAAGTAGCTTTAACCATAAGAAAATGTATTATCTCACCTAACAAGAAGTCCAAAGACAGGGCAGCCCGAGGGTGATGTCAGGGCTCCTGGTATACTTTTCTACAGTTTTCTCCACTTGGATCTTCTCTGTGATTGGCATCAGCCTCAGGCTGGAGATGAGATGGCTAAGACTGTGCCAGACTCACAACCAAAAGCATCTAAAGAAAGAAAAGGGATCATTCATTTCTTAGATGGTTTTTAAGGAACTTGGAATTTTCCCCTGAAGTGTCCCCCAAGCCACTCCCCACCCCTCATATGAGCCCCTCTCACTCCCACTGACTAGAGTTCTGTCACCTCCCTGCTCCTAAACCAGTCATTGGTATGCACTGGGCACTCGCTATGATTGGCTCAGGTGAATTATTTGGGGTGACATGGATATTGGGGAGTTTACCACATTAGTCACGACAATATCAAAAACCTTGACCTAACATTTACAGCTCTGAGAGTGTAGCTGAAGGAAAGTATGCAAAGTCTTCCCAAATGGTAAGGGAATGTGCAGCCTTTCTTCACTGGGAGGCTGCTCTGGACAGAGGACCCAAAGCAGTTGGCACAGGCTTAGAAAGCCCTCTCTCCTCGACATCACAGCTCCCTGACCACGGTCTAAAACAGTGGTCCTAGAAACATGCTCCAAATAAAACCGAGTATCAAGCTGTCCTTAAGAAACACCAGAGCTGATCCAGCCATGCCCTAAATCTTTTGGGGACCACAGGCCCAAGGTCATTCCTTGTCCCCATACAGATCCACACACCACCTACTCTGACCCAGTACCACACCTGTCCTAGACCCCTACAAATACTTCCACTTGGCCTTCTGAAACTCCTGGTCTGCCAATTGCAAAACCCTATGTCTTCTACCCTTTCTCTAAATATTGCCTCCACCTCCGTGGTGGAGCTCAAGGCTGAGTGGCTGTCTTGCCACTTCTTTCGCCCCACCAGGCTGGAATCTGGGAAAAGTCTCTTTCTTCCTCCTCAGTGTTGCTCCCAAACTTGTGACCCCTTCTGCGTGCAAGTACACTGCTCCTCTGAAAAGCTCGGCTTGAAGCCAGACCTGGAGAGCGCATCATGTGGATGCCCTCCATGTCACATCTACGGCCCTTCCATGCATTCCGTCTCACTCCTCGAGGATTTAAGTTCCTGGATCACTGCCTGTGTCTTCACCATTTCTCCTGCCATGATTCACGGGGATTCCCACATCCAGGAAAACAATTCCTCCTAATGAGTTCCCACTTTTAGGTTATGTATTCTGTAGGAAACTTTATGCCCTATTTCTGGGCCACTGCACTTATTCTTAAAATGAACTGTTTGACATTGCTGTATAACCATCAGCTGCCTCTATGGGAAACTCATTTGCAATTAACCTTATTTAAGAAATATCTTGAAGGTACAAAGCATGTCCCTTAAAGTTTCTTGGAAACTCAGGATCTGTTCATTCATGCCTCCAAATAATCCTAACATTTTCACAGTGTTTTGCAGTTCAAAGTGAGCATTAGCCAGAATAATGAACCTATTAATTCAACTGTGTCCTAAGTCTGCTCATAAATTGGAGTTTTGAATTTACAATAGAAGCACTGAATGCTTTTGTCTGATCTCTCTTCATTGTGGTTCCACAGGCCATCCCCCTATTTCAAACATGTCCAGCATAATGAATTTTTTTCTTATTATGGCTGCAATCTGTTTTAGTGTCAGATTCACAGAGACTTTGAGGAGCTTGTTGGTCTCTTTTCAGGCATCAGACCTTTTTGGTGTCTGTAGTGTTGACTGAAGATTCAAAATAACTGGTCTGAGCAGATCTGCAATGCCACTGTGGTATAAACCAGATTAAATATTAAAACAACTCCTTTCTCCTTTTGATCACTGAAGCAAAAGCAGCCTAATATTTTGAAGTATGTTTTTATTATCTTAGGTCAACTTGAAACAAATGCACATCATCCTGAGAACAGACCTCCCCAGAACTTCCCAGTCAGGGTTAGCCGGTGCCCCATCGTTTTGTTTACTGTGAGGTCATTGCCATGCTTTCTTAATTTATCAAGCAATTAATCAGCTGGGAAATAGCTTCCCCAGAGGAGATCTCCACAGTCTGCTCAGAGTCTGAAAATCTCAATAGCCCTTAAGGCAATATCATTTCCATCATTTTATTACAAGAAAGGGGTAAATTGACTTCTCGGTAACATGGAATCACACATACACAGTAATTTAATTTTGCCATTTCCGGATTCTGTTTAAAAAAGTCTACACCCAGCATTCTGGAAACCAGAACAGTGGAGTATTGCAACACATGACTCCCTCCTTGAATGGGGGCCATGAGGCTTACCCTGCTGGAGTCTGATGCTGGTCCTACGGAGAGCACAGGGCACAAGCCCACAGGGTGCAAGTGGGCTTCTTCATGAAGGGACTGGACATCCAGGACTGGGGAGGACAGACCTTAAAAATTAAATGGAACTCTAGGATTCCTCTGCAATGGGCTGAAAAGGACACCCCTGGTTTGGGGCCTCACTCTTTTGTCTCTACTTCATGTAATCTTTCAATGCTTTGGGGTCCTTCCAGAAGGTAGAATCAAAGATGCCCACCCTCCTGGGAAAGCAGGACAGAAGCCCTATGGGGAGACAACCATGAAGAGACACGAATCTGAAAATGAAACAGGATTCTTTTATGAGCCAGATTACTTAATGTCATGTTCATCTTTAAAACTATGCCCTACCCTTTCTACTGCCATTTAGCACTTGTTGAACTCCAGTGTCAGTGCTTAGCCCTGACTCGGTGCTGCCAAGGCTGAAAAAGCAAGCCTGCACGTCCTGCCTGCCACTTCCCAGCACAGGACATGTTTCCCTGTTTAGAAAGCCTGGAATACATCAGTTTGAGTTTAGTGGCAACTTTGTGGCAACTTTGATAAAATACATTTGGAAAAATAATACAGGTAAAAAGCACCCTACCCAGATTCAATTTAACCCGTGCAGATGAGAGATGGTCATGAAAGCATTACGGGAAGCCTCAAGGTTTGCGAGGAAGCTGCTCCAGGCAGCAGGCCAGAAGGCTGGTGGGCTTATATCCGGGGTGTCCCGCAGCAGCCCTCCAAGGATCTTGGCAACAGGCAAAGGTGAAGGGAGAAGTCCCAGTATGGAGGATGCACCTGGCTGAGAAGCAGATATGGCAAGGCAGCTCAAGCCTGATGGAGTCACAAACACAAAGAAGTGGCTGAGAGGCAGAGTTTCAGTGCTGAGGCTGACCACAGGCCTGAAGCCAACTCCAGGATTCTAGAGGGAAAGACAAAACGTGCCATCACATCTAGGGCTGCAGGGCAAAAGACCGGGCTCTGGAAAGAGAGGGCCTCCACATTCTGCTAGTTTCAGCCTTTGTGCATAAAACGCACACATTACTTTTGAAATGAAACACACACACACACACACACAGAGGATAGGAGGAGGGAAGAAGAGAGGAAAGGACTGAGGAAAGGATTCTGACATGCTCACCTCAGTTTCCCGTAAGGCATGAGAGGTCACCATCCACTGTCTCCTTTGCACTTACCAGGGTCCCAAAGGCATATCAGGGATGTTGTCCTTATGGGGCATCTGGACAGATGGCAGCCCACTGGGCAGTTATCAAGGGCATTTAGGGAAGATGGAACAATGTTCTTTCACATCCATATGGAGAGCAGACAGTTAAGTTGTGAGAAAAGTGACGGGTTGGACTGATGGACACGTATTTGCCTAATCTCTGCCCAGAGTGCAGGACAGATAATTGTGTTTTGACTTGATAAGATGCCCTCACCATTTCCACCCACCTTTACCTCCCCACCCATTGTTAGAGGAAAGTAATTTTTTCTAACTCAGCAAAGAAAAGATAAACTAACTGCATATCCATTAAATGTATGTAAAGAAAAAAAGTAAAATCCGCAAGGCCAATATTCATATCTTGCTCCACCAGGAATATGAAAGAGAAAGTAAAAACTTTCCATTTTCCTTTAATCATGCGCTTACCCCAGGGTGTGCATTTACTAATCAATTTTTTCAGTTTATTAAGTGCCCACTATGTATTCCGCATGGTGGTTGATGCTGGAAACACCAAAATGAAGAGACATGTCTCTCCTCACCAGGACCCTATATGCACAAGCATAAACTGAAACATAAACGGAACAAGGTGTAAAATGTAGTGGACACACACACAAAAGATATGTAAGTCTGCCTGAGAATTGAGGAAGATTCTCTACAGCAAGGCTCCATCCTGTTATTTTTTAGTAGATATTATTTTCTTAAGCTTAGACTCAACCTTTGTTGCTCTCACATGTCTCACTTATTATCTAAATTTAACTGCTATTAAAAATAAACTGACTTCAAAGCACAAAGTCTTGCAGCAAAAACCTATTCCATCTATTACCCTTTCTCTAGGTCTTCTTGCCTTCTCCACCTCAATGCCCTTTGGTTGAAGCCATTGTGAGCAGGCTCCATCCTACACCCAAAAAGAAACTAAACCCCTAAAACTTGATATGAAAACTACACACATACCAAGTGTGTCTCCCCAGTTGTTTAGTTGTTTTGACTCACTCAAACTTTAATTCCAAGCAGGTATCCAGCCATCCCAGGGGATTTTCAGGACTCACAACTGTCAGTTTCAGGAGCAGGACCATCCCAGGCAAACTAGGACCACTGTTCATCCTCAGTCACCTGATCAGGAGGAGTTCCACAGGTCTGAAGCCTCACATCTCGTTTCTGTAAGGAAGCTTACCTGAGTTCATGATTTCAAGAACAATCATCTCAAATCACTGCAGTATCAAATTGGGTCCTCAGCGACAAAAGGACAAAATGACATTCTTGTTCCCATTCCCTTGACCCTTTCTACCCTTTGTAAGTATAGCCAAAGTGGAAAAAAAAAGACCCTCCCAAGCCTGGCTCCAGCTTACTTCTAAATCTAACCAGACCCGATCAAATGTCTCAAAGAACCACAATGAAAACGAAGAAACAGACAAACCCTTAGGCTGGAAATTGAAGACAAGAGACATAAAAACTCCCAGTTATTGCACAGTCACCACCAAAAAGGGGCTTGGGGCTCAATGCTGGACTGGTTACATCTCCTTTACAGTAAGTTATTTGGGAATGTCTCCTGTTTTAAACTAAATATGAAATTACTCTTGTAGAGCCTTTGTTTGTGTCTGAAAAGTTGACCATTAGAAGTACTGATCGCCTGTGTGAGCGTCAGAGTCTCTTTGACTGGAAAAGAAGTGCCTTCGCTCAAAATGGCAAAGCCCCCCAATATAGATGTGACTTGTCTTCAGCCACTGGCTACCCTTGTTAGAATAGGGTATATCATCCAGCAAGCTGGCCCAGGAAGGAAGTTAGAGTTCCCCATATTTCTCTTAGGTGTTTAGGGGGATCCAACTAGACAGCCCTCAGCAAATCTTCAGAACATCATGTCAGACTCTCTGCCTTGGACACTGCTATGGAGAGAGAAGAAGCTACATGAGCAAAAGTCTGGGGCCCGGGAGAAGCCCTGGACCCCCAGCAGCTAACAGGTTTTCTCTACCACAGCACCATTCATTTCCCTTCAGCTCCCCACAGCTGGGTGCTTATGGGAGCTTGCAAATCAGGACAACTGGAAACACTAAAGCTTGCCATGGGAAACAGAGAAAAATCTGAACTTCAGAAGAGCACAAAATGGGGATCATGTCATCATGGAGAAAAAAGCAGGAGGAGACCCAAGTCATCGCGAGGTCTATGAGCCCTCTGTAGTTATGACAAAGGCACTGACTGAGGTGGACAGAGAAGCTGGGTTGGAGAGGGACCCGAGCTTGAAAGCAGCCCCCAGACAGCGCCCGCATTCTAAAGGCCCCATTCAGGAACATCTAAAAACCATCGCGGGAAAATATATTTGTATTGTTAAATAAGGGGAAAGGGTCACAGCCTGCTGGTCTTGATTTTTCTCTACTTCCCAATTCCTCTGCTCCCCCAAAATGATAGCCACTTGCAGGGCCTGTAGTACAACTGAGTGCTCCGCCGCCCAGGCTGCGCCCACGAGGGAGGCTGCTGCTCACCCACAGAGAGGCCTCTGCCTGGTGCAGGGGCTCATTTGGGCACACGGTCCTCAAAGCTTCTGTGGTGTGAGTTGGCCTGGGGATGGATTTTCCATTTGGGCTTTCTTTTTTTTCTCTTCACATTGTCCACACTGCACTAAATTACTCTCCAAAACAATGTTTATCTTTCCTCTTGCCACTTCACAGCCTGTCCCCATTCAAGAATTTTCAGGACGGACTAGCTGATACCTGTAAAAATATCCACTGACTTTTACAAGTGGAACATGGCAAGAAAATCCTATTTTCTTTTCTCCTTCTATCCCTTGCCCGCTACCCACTCAACTCATAAACTGAGTGAAAGGATTTCAACATTTCGCATCCTTTTCCTCATTCTTTTCATTTACTTTTTTTCCTTGTTTTTGAGAAACTCTATTTCAAGAAGAAGTTTAATTTCCAATACCTGTAGCTGACTTCCAAAAACAGATGAGAAAACTCCCAGAGAGACAGCCTCATGTGTCTTGCATTACAGTATCAGCATGTGTGTGCAGGTGTGCATGCATGGAGGCGGGGGCGGGTGTTTGCACTGCTCGAGAGGTTACAGACCACAGCCTTTTGCTTTTTTTGTTTTGTTATTTTGTGTGTGTGTGTCAAAGAAATATTTCCCACCAACATGTTTTTAACTTTTTTTATTATAAAAAGTAATAAATTCATGATGGAATACTTGGAAATAGCAAAAAAGAAAAAAAAAATCTTTCACCAAGCTAAAAGCCAGAGGCCACCAATATTACTCATTTCTCATGTTTTTCCATTATTCTGCTTCCTAAAGTTATTGTATTTATTTGCTGTTTTAGGTTTCTGTGGAGGTTCATCAACTCAACTTCAAGTGTTCCTTTCCCCAGGAAATCTTTCCTAAGCCTCTTCTGGCCCCAGAGCTGGCTTCCTCCACGACCGCACCTGTCACATCAAATGTAAATATTCCCTGTGCTCACATTTGCGTCACTCACTAAACTAAAAGCTCCTGTCTGGCAGGGACTTTTTTGGGTTCATCTTAGTTACTCTAGGATCTAGCACACAACAACAAATTCAACAATCAAAGCAAATATTTATTTGTCCCACCTCTGTGCCAGAGCAGTTCCTGGAGACTGAGTGCACATCAGTGAGCCAAGCAGACATGAGAGGAGCTGGCCATGAGTTGCACGTGGTGAAGAAAGGCAGGGACAGGGGAGAGAATGAGGGCTTGCAGAAGGGTAAGGGCCAGATCAAGTAGGGCCATATAAGCTGTACAATGGGATCCATTGAAGGTTTTATACAGGCATCACACTTTCTCTGGATGCTGGTAAGAGTAGATTTGAGCTGCCTGCCCCATGTACAAAGCTGAGGGTAGTTTAGACCACAGTTCAAGACAAAGAAGTGGGGCTAAGTGAACAGGCTCAAGATATGTTTTGGAGGTGGACTAGATAGGAATTTATGACAAAGTGACTCTGAGCATAAGTGAAAAGAAGAGCCAAATAGGTCATCCGGGTTTCTGGTTGGAGCAACTGATGGGTGAAGGTATGATTTATGGAGATAGGGAAGAGGGGGCAATTGACTGCAGTGGCAGGAATCAAGAGTTCATTCCAGGACACATTAAATCTGAGATGCCTGTGAACAGCTACATGGGAATGTGGAGTGGGCAGTTGCATACACAAGTCTGGAGTTCAGAGAAGCCGTCTGAGCTGAGGCTGTAAATTCAGGGATCACCAGCAAATAAATATTATTTAATGCTATGGGTCAAGTTGAGACCACCCACAGAGAGTGTGGTAAGAAAGAAAAGGGCTCAGGAACAAGCATAGGTGGGTTGATAGATGGGGATGAGCCCATGGAAGGCCAGGCAGGGTGGTGACCGCTGCAGCGGGCGGAGCCTCATGGGGCGGAAGACAGAGCCCTGGGTGTGCAATGCATAGGCCACTGCTCGCCTCAATAAGGACTGTCACAATAAACAGCAAAGAGGGAGGCCTGGCCAGCCCAGAGAACAGGACAGGCAATCAGACAGCATTCCCAAACAACTCTTCCAAGAATTTTCAGCATAAAAGGCAGAGAAAAGGAATGGAATTTGAGGGTCCTCAAAAGGAGCAAGAGAAACAAGAACGTATGCTTCTGGGAATGATCAAGACGGGAGGGACTCTGACAATGGTGCAAGGAGGAAGGTGACTGGATCACAGAGCCAAATGAGGCTCCTAAAGGTAGCAGGTGGGGAGCTGAGAGGGTCCCCACTCCCCAAAGAAGTGAGAGGGGAGGACAGCCGCTGAGAAGGAAGGAGGAGGACAGGGCAAGGGCTATCGAGGAGCACAAAGGGGCAACCCAGGCCAGCCCTGGGGATGCAGGTGGTCTGGACTCAACAGGGAAGGAGGTGCGGAACTTGGCTAAGAGGAGCAGGGCCAGACAGAGTCTTATTGGGTCAAGTTGAGACCACCCACAGAGAGTGTGGTAAGAAAGAAAAGGGCTCAGGAACAAGCATAGGTGGGTTGATAGATGGGGATGAGCCCATGGAAGGCCAGGCAGGGTGGTGACCGCTGCAGCGGGCGGAGCCTCATGGGGCGGAAGACAGAGCCCTGGGTGTGCAATGCATAGGCCACTGCTCGCCTCAATAAGGACTGTCACAATAAACAGCAAAGAGGGAGGCCTGGCCAGCCCAGAGAACAGGACAGGCAATCAGACAGCATTCCCAAACAACTCTTCCAAGAATTTTCAGCATAAAAGGCAGAGAAAAGGAATGGAATTTGAGGGTCCTCAAAAGGAGCAAGAGAAACAAGAACGTATGCTTCTGGGAATGATCAAGACGGGAGGGACTCTGACAATGGTGCAAGGAGGAAGGTGACTGGATCACAGAGCCAAATGAGGCTCCTAAAGGTAGCAGGTGGGGAGCTGAGAGGGTCCCCACTCCCCAAAGAAGTGAGAGGGGAGGACAGCCGCTGAGAAGGAAGGAGGAGGACAGGGCAAGGGCTATCGAGGAGCACAAAGGGGCAACCCAGGCCAGCCCTGGGGATGCAGGTGGTCTGGACTCAACAGGGAAGGAGGTGCGGAACTTGGCTAAGAGGAGCAGGGCCAGACAGAGTCTTATATGGCCAACGGAAGGAGCCAGGACATGCAAGGCCTGAGTGTGGACTGGGGTGTAGTGAGCTGTATGGCTGGAGAGGTAAGTAAGGGCTCTGAATGCCATGGTCAGGAATCTGGGCTTCATCCTGAAGGCAACGGGAGGCTCTGGAGGTTGTTAGCAGGGAAGTGCTGCAGTCAGGCTGGAGTTCTGGAGAAGATTCTGGGTGGGCACGGGCAGCGCTTGGGGGGTGGGGAGGGACTGAAAGCTAGTCGGCCAGAGGCAGACATGATGGTCAACAGGGGAGGTGATGCAGGCCTGGACTAGAGCACTGGTGGCCAGGGGAGAAAGTGGGAGGATTTAGGAAATGCTCAGGAGGAAAACCAACAGAATTTGAATCAAGAACATACCTACTTATAATTTTCTTAAGCATTATGCTTTACTTGATTTTAAAATGCCAGGTGGCTATTTTATCAAATAGTAAACTCAGTATCCTCTCCTAAGTCCAACAGTAAAAGCAGGCATCTCTTTATAAATGGCCTGGTTGGACTCTTTTTAGGCTTCACCTCACACTCTAGCACAGTGCAGGGCGCATAGCCCTGGTTAAGTAATTTCTTCAGCCAAATGAG